TCAGTCTTTGAGTTGACAAACCACCACTGCTGGAACACCTTTGCATCAGTTTACTGGAAGAACCTGAAGGGGGTGGGCGGTTAATTGTGTTTGCCCATTGCAGCAAAAACAACCAAGAGTTTTGTGGCACCTCAAAGACTAAACATTTCATTGGTGCAGAAATGTTATGGTGACTACCTCTGTCTACACCATCTCAATGGCCAATTCCAATTCCCTGGTCACAAGCAAACTTGACTCTAGGTAGATGGCGCAATGGGCTGTATGCCACAAGAGCTTGTGTGGAGCTGCAAAATGCTTCCTTTGTTTAATAGATGTTGACCTGCGTTTCATGTCACGTGTTCAGGATAGGAACAACCATGCAATGTTCTCCAGTCCTGCTCACAAAGCCAACAGCTGCTACCATTGAGTTCTTGAGTCTTCCTCAGGGTCAGCTGAAGAAGGCAACCAAGTTGGACATCTGATGGATGCCAAGAATCCCTGTGGCCCCATCAGCACTGAGATTTTTACTCTGAAATGGGACACTTCAGAAAGTGGGCAGCACGTCACATTATCTCCAGGTGGCTTGGTGCGTGGACGCTGAAGAAATTGCTACTCTATTGTTTCCACGGTCACTTGTAGGAAGCTCCTCTTAGCATTTCACTGGAATTCCCAATTTGGAAACTTAAGGGCATTCTTGCCTCTCTTGCACTCCGTGAATTGTGGCCTTCTCGTTTGACACCTCTTCAGATCCTTGAAGAGTCCTCTCCTACATGGACGGAGTTTTCTCTTTTCATAGCTAAACACACCACTTCACTCACTCTCTCCTCGTGACATTCAAGTCTCCTGCGGATATTTGTCTGAGACTCGGCTCAGAATAAATATAGGTTGGCTGCAAGCAAAACTGTCTGAAAGAGCGAGGTTTCAATTTGCTCGGCCTATATTTGAAAGGTGTGCGCGCCGATTCCCTCCCCACCTGCTTCTGTGAGTGCTGAAGCAGACAGGCTTATCGTAACCTGATCTCCAAGACTTCTTCCCAAGGCAAGGGCTTTCATGAAGACGGACAGCTTCTTGCTGACCAAGCGTTCGTCTGAATTCCATTTTGAGGGCTTTTCATTTAG